TTGTTTAATTTATTATAATTATTATACAAGTATAAGTATAACCGTTATATGTTATTTATTGATAATTATATTCATGAGATTTTGTTAACAAAATACAAACACAAAAAACTGGACATTACTCATGCTATTAAGCGTGAGATTAATAGCTAATTGTTGTCCCCTATCTTGAGTTAATCATCACTGGAATAGATATCAATTGATTCATTCAATTTTGGATTTGATTTTGATATCAGATTTGGAAACAATTTTAAAGAAAATTTTGAATTTTGTGTTCGTTTGCACTCAAAAGAAGAGAAGGTTTAGTCGAAGCAAACTTTTGGGAACGAGAAAAGGGGTAGTGATTGCGAGCTTTGCATTTCAATAGTTAATTCATTATAGGATTAATGAATATCAAAGTTAATCTTCTGATAACAAATTTTATATTACTTTTTACTAAATTAAGTTTTATTGTCAATAATTTAATTTCTTAGGGGTGGGATATGTGAGCGTTATTTTTCACCACAATTAATATACTGTATAACTAATATGTGTAAAGGTATAATCAAATTTATTATAAATTAAATATTATTTTTGCTTAAATCAACAATTATTTTTATTTTTAAAATAAATTCAATAGATTTTAAATATCATTTCAATTATTATAATTGAAATAATGTACCCAAACACTTTACACATTTACACAATACTATAAAAACATTCCCAGAATATATTGCATCTTAATAATAGCCAAATGTAATCTATTCAATTAATTTGGCCTCTATTTAAGTCTTAATCTATACTACACATACACATACTTATCAAAATGTGACAATTTATATCACAATTTGTGACACTATATGTTTGATATTACAATATCTGTTAGATAAAATGATAAATGCAATGCACTTTAATTAATCTTGTATTTTTATTAGAGTTAAAAATTCATTAATTAACTATAAGCAATTTTGGGAATTATTGTAACTTTACATACATGTATGTTTTATAAGATCGAGGCTATCTCTCCACCCGAATTAAATTCAAATTGGTTAAAAAATTTAACAAATATTGTATAAAACAGAATTAAATGTTTACGGAAATAATCATAATTATATTAAATAATTGATTAATTATATTGTATATGAATTATATCAAAGTCACAAATTACACAATAATTCTATTACTCATACACTGATCAATAATTTTAATGATATAGCTTTAGATTTTATTGTACCAGTATTAGTAGACATGCAAAACAAAATATTAGGCAATTGTTAAATAAATAATTTAAATATAACATGGTGGAACAATAAAACAAAATTATGAATAAATAAATTAAAATTGTTATAAAAACATTCACAAAATAAAATTATTATATAAAAATATTTCTAAAATTTGTTTCAAATTTGACCACAAATAAATCAAGAATTGGGCAAAAATCATCTGGTCAGTCTAACCCTATACAGTTCCCCAATTTCTTAACTGCCATTCTATACCCGGAATTAAAATATTAATTATTATTATGAATCGTGACTAATTATAATAATTCATGTTAACTTAAATAGAATGCATGACATTGTTAATGACATAATACAGTAAGTAAAATTTTTATTGAGATTCAATGCAATCAAAAATTAGAATAAATTCAGTATAGATTTAATAAAATTAGTTGTCTTTTAAGAGTAAATAATTTTAAAATTAAAACCAAATATACCAGTTTGCTTAGTATTTCTAATTAAATTTACTTACCAGACTATTTAAATAATATTTCAGGTATGTAATATTATATATTTGTTTAACTTAATGAAAGTAAATGTTTAAAATTGTTAATTTTATTATTTGACATTTGATAATTTAATTTAGAATCAACAATATTTGCAATACATTTGGATAAAATTCTATGAAAAGGTATATAAACTAAACACAATTGCTTTCAAGTACTAAAATATTTTAATTATTACTATAAAAATAGTTTATAACTTGATATATAAAAATTATTAATTCATAAAGTAATATAAGTTAAATTCAGAATTGGAGATAAATCAATATATAATTTTAAATTAAACCATTTGTGTCCCTAATTTCAATAGTATTGGATTCAAATAATGCTATCCGAGAATACAGTGCAGTCCAGTAGTGGACACCACCCGATGCATGGGTTGATGCGGTCATCGCCGGGCACTCAGTTGGCAAACGTGTTCACGAATGAAGCGAACGATTGTTATATCATTGAAAGCTTTGGCGCTCCCAATACGGGTCCTGCGCTCCGACAACAGCGAGATCTTTGTCTGGTTTGTGGCGACAGAGCCCATGGCGTTCACTACTACGCCCTTACATGTCAGGGCTGTAGCGGTTTTTTCCGGCAAACGATACGTAAAAAGCTGGTCTATGAATGCATATATGGGAACAATTGTGAAATTGATATGTATATGAGAACGAAATGTCGGTTTTGCAGATTCAAAAAGTGCCTGGATGTCGGTATGTGCTGGGAATGTGTCGGCAATAAGCGTAAGGGCGCCGTTAAACGCATTGACCCCAATGTTAAACAGCCGTCGACTGACCCGCAGAAAGCGGCGATCGATCTATTGGTCTACATTCAGGACGAGTTTGATTCTCCCTCTGAAACCGACATCAATAAAGTTACTGTTTTTGCGATGAAAGACAGCCAATCAAATGGTATGACTCAATACAAATACGTGATCGGAATGACTGTATTGACCGTCAAATTAACCGTCGAGTTCTCTAAACAAGTGCCCGGTTTTGGCCGACTCTTGAAGGAGGATAAGATCACTCTCTTGAAGGTATGTTGTGTTTACTCAATTGGTTACTAATACAGTGTTTGCATACCATTGAAGGCGTGTTCGAGTGAAGTCATGTTCTTAAGGGCTTCGGGTAAATACGATACTAAAACCCGTGCAATAATTTACGCCTCGAGTCAGCCCTACACCCGAGAGGATCACCACAGGGCTAGTGTTGGCCACACCGCCGACGCGTTGTTTGGATTTTGTCGGTTAATGTCTAAACTGAATGCAGACACTATAGTATACGCACTCATCACTGCTATTGTGCTCTTCAGTGAGAGACCAAATCTATTAGAGCCAAAGAAAGTGGAGTTTATTCAGCAGTTTTACATCAAAACATTGGAGGCATTTGTCTATAGTTACAGATCTGACCGCAAATGCTATTTCGCAAAACTTTTAGGCATTTTGACAAAACTGCGAACTCTTGCGAACATCAACTCCGAGTCGTGTCTCAAATTAAAAGATGCAAATATAAAATTGCCCCCATTTTTGGCAGAAGTTTGGGACATTGAATACACACCGGAATCGCAATCGATTGCTACCAACTCTCCAACCGATTTGATTGAATTTGATTTATCGGATTTGGAGAGAATTTTAAATATGTAATCAATTGGGATCACGTGATTGCCATTTATTACAGTCGTTGTGATTATCTAATGCTCTCCTTTTAGAGATAACTTACGAAATTATCTCAAATGTTATGAATATTTAATTACATTATATTTAATATTTTTTGTTGAATTTATAATTCAATTTATTGTAAGGTAATGCATTTCAAATTTTTGAAAAATAGTTTTGCACCGGAAATCTCATTATTTTTTTAGGATTAAAAAATAAGACAAAAATGCCAAACGATTATCAATCGATAAATATAAACACAAATATAATATTATAATTCATATTAAAATAGAATTATAATTCGTTGTTATTTATAAAACATTGTAAAACTAATTGACTACTGTTTTAAATAAGATTATTTTTATAATTTTTTATACTTTTCAAAATTCATAATTATACTTATAATAATCAAAATTATGTAGAAATCACATTTCATGACTAGAATATGTTTTTTATAAATGAATGAAATGTTGACTAGAATTTGCTATAAACACAATGTAATCACTAATAATTGTTATGACTTAATATATGTACTGAATATCACATTATTTTGTTTATCACAAATATGTATTGCAATGATTGAGAATCACTTGAGTATTGGTCGCCGGCTATAACGCCAGGCATTTGATTATATTTATGACTAAATGTATTGCGTATTGATTTATGACCATAAGCTTGCAAACCTTGTTAATAACAGGACGTGATTTTTTGTGTTAACTTGGTAATTTTAACACATTACTCACTATAAACGTTACCTTATTTGGTCATATTCCTTATTTATTTCATTCACACCTTATATAAATGTACTATGATATGTGAACTGTATGTATCATAGCTATATAGAAACATCAAGCACAACACACCCGTGCACGCATTCGTGCACCCAAGCTAGTTGTAGTTTATGACTAATTACTATTGACTAGTATTATCACAGTTTGTATGCTTTAAAGTTATATTAAATAAAACTTATTTTAAACTACATATTAATTGAGTGATTGTGTGAGTCTTGAGAGTAACCTGACCTGATCAGACCTGAACCTCGGAGACCACCCGGGTCTCCACAAATATTTAAAATATTTTACATCTAGTTATCCATTGCGATGGTGCAATTTTAATTTGCATTTCTAAAGTTTCCATATAAAAATCTTAAATAATAGATAATATTATATATAATACTAAAAGTGTGTTCTGTATTTTTAATAATTTTGGTCATAACTGATTAAGATTTCGTTTATATAACATTGAAATAAATTTAAAAAACAATCATATACTAAAGATTTATATAAAAAGTAACTTTCTTGACTGGACTTTCTTGAGTCTCAGATATGATGGACAGGTTGTGTCAAACGCCGTGTGATCTGTCGACCGCTGTTTTTGTCTTCGGATGGCTTTTATATTTGCCATGCCTCACACTGGGGTTCAATACCGATATGTTACAGTTAAGCTCGACTGTATTATTGTTACAAATAACCAACTTGGAACAATATTGTGATTTAAAATAACGATGATATTAGAGTCAATACCCACAGACCACACGGTAAATGCTATTTCGCCCGACTTTTAGGCATTGACAGAACTGCGAACTATTTTGGACATCAAATCCGAGACATGTTTTAATTTTAAAACAGAAAATACAAGTTGTTCCCATTTTGTACAAATGGTTGGGCATAGAATGCACAGCGAAATCGGAATTAATTGATATCAACTTTTAAAACGACGTTGCATTAAATTTATAATAGATTCATTATAGATATCATTCATATAGAAACTAATTCAGTATTACTTGGTTTTGAGTTAAATTAACATATATTTAGTATATAACAAAACTTTTACAATAGTTGGTAATCAGTAAACAAAAATTTATTTAAATAAATGATAGACAAATAATACATTATAATTAAAGGCTTATATACCGATTAGTAGGAAATACATTTATAGACAATTAGTAGTGATAGGTATAGACGAGTCACCTTAAATATATATAAATTAGGCACAATATATATTATTACATATAAAATATATGAAATTTATATCATATATGAAGAACAATGGGGGGG